ATATATTCTGATAGAGCTTAAAATTCTCTAGTATCCTATATGTTTTATCTTTTGTCTTACATTTTATTATTCGAACATGATAATAATGCGTGGAATAAGTTTCATATTCAAATTTTAATCAACATTAAATGAAAATAACAAATGAAATAAAGTTTTATTGTTTTAGAATTTTATAATCGGGAATTTTAGGCTCTATCAGAATATATAATTATTTTTTTTTTCAATATATTTTTATGGCGACAAAACGTTTAAAAAAATCGACAAAAACTTTTTCAAGAAGTACACAGATATTGAATCTTATAAATGAAATATAAATTCAATAAGCAATACTAAAATTAGTTTTGAATTCGTATAAATCAATCTAAACTTGGCGCTCAGCTATCATTAATCATTCGAATGAATCCTCGTATCGAAAAACTTTGTTTACCTCGTCATCGACGTGATGCTGTTTGGAAATTTTGGCAACCAAGTATTACACTTGTTTTTGTTTTTCATTTCGTAGCATTTAATAGATTATTAATCGTTTATTTATAGATGCTAAATTGGAAAAAATCTACCCACCTATATATTGGAAAAAACTTGATTATAAAAATATTCATTCAAAAAAGACAACGAAGATTGAAGAATGTAAAAAACCACATCATGAAAATGCATGTTTGAATGCATGTAATTATACAACATTAATCTATAAACATACAACTGATAAACAAATCAATGAAAAAGGATTTCGTATATTTATTGATTTTGAACATAAGGGATTAGAACATGCTACATGGAAAGAATCAATTGAAGATGATAATTTATTAACAAATAAATTTAAAAACAAAGATCAATCACCAATAATAGAATTTTCATGGTCAAATTTAAATCATAAACAACAATTTTTCAATGATCAATATTTAAAACAACAAGAACTTATTCGATATTTTAAAAGACATATTCAAAAAGATAATTTATTCGAATTAGATAAAAGTTCATATCCTAATCAATTCATGCCTATGTCACGTCGTCCACGAGATGCTCTTCATATTGATTTTTATCCAGCAGCTTGTTTTCAAGGATCAAAAACTGAAGCAACATTTAAAACATTTTATCATCGAAAATATTTAGTAAATAAATATTAAAATTTTTCTTGAAATCTTTTTTTTTTGTCTTTATTTTTTATCAAGTTACCTAAACATTTACGTGAACATACATTAAAAGATCTTATAACGATTGCTAATAATATTCAACTTGATATCGATATAATCGGTCATTTTGTTTTACATCCAGTAGAATTTATAAATTTTATTAAAGAAATTTTCAATTTTAAGTTTTTTTTTTAGAATGAATTATCTAAACATGAAATAAAAATGTTTGAATTAACATCGGAATTTGGTGATATTTATGAAGGTCATATTATTCGTATAAATAATGAAAAACTTGTTCTCTTATTGGCTTCTACATATCATTCAGATATTAAACTTACACAATCAGATGATTTTAAAAACATAATTAATGATTCAACAAATTTTGATGTTAGAATAAATTCAGTATATTTTCTTTTTTTCAAAAAAGAATTTATGGTTTGAAGCAAGTTATTTGATAAATCAAACGAATTAGAGAACATTTCAAGAGAGATGACTCAAAAAAAAAATTGCATTGAAGAATTATTTTAGATGTAATACGAATAAATTCTGAAATAATTTTTTCCAGAAGGGAACAAAGAAAAAATTTATAAAAGACAAATTTCACATCTGGAAAACGTGCAACAATTTTTTCAGAGAACCACGATTAGAATATTTATTTTCTTATATTCTTAAAACGTTTCTCAGCATGAATCACTAATGGTTTTGTCATAGTTTGATTGAAAAATATGAAAGAAATTTTTCTTTTTTTTTAGCAATCAACAATAGAACAAATTGTTACTGATCATGTTCGGGAATATTTGCAAACAAATAATGATTATTCTATAGCAGAAATACGACGTATACAAATTGAATTGGAACCCTTAACAAATAAAGAAAAACGTCGAGTAATTGTTCATTTAATAACTAATGAAGAAATTATCGAAAATTTAACTTTTGAAATTACACGTGAACAAGAACCAAAATTGTTCGATATTGAATATGAAAAAAATCTTTATTTTTTACAAGGTAATCATGAACAGACAATTATACATTCTGTTGAACATAAACTTAAACAATTGTTTACTAAACGATATTCTTTAATACATAAAGAAGAAAATTCTAATTCATATTTACAATTAACATTAGACATAGAAAATGATACAATAAATAGTATTAAAAAAATGCTTTATGCTTATGCTAATCATAAATTAACAACTTATTCACGTGAAGAATGTATGCGTATAGCAATTGAATATAGTTTTGATGATTTATTAGATAAACTGGATTCTAATGAATTACAATCAATTGATGATAATCAGATACAAATGATGATGGATGATCTACAAATGCGATTACGTTTACAAATTAAACGACGTTTAGTATGATTTCAGAATTGAAATTTTTCTAACGCTAAATTACTTAGGACATACTTTAAAAAAAAGTGATTTTGTCAGATAAAATCTCACAAGACATTTTGAATATACAGGGTGGCGCAAACGTCGGTTTACCGGAAAAAAATTGAATATCTCCATTACGGTTCGGGCAAACGAGCTGATTTCTTTACCAATAATAAAGGCATGTACAAGCTTCATATCCATAAAGACATGCCGAGAGAAACCCTTTGTTAAGTATATTGCTTTCTATTCTATCTGTGAAAAAAGTAAAATTATTTTGTTGAGGTCATTAGTGGTACTTAATAAAGACTCTCTCTATGGATTTAAAGTGTGAAAATGCTTCTATTATTGGTAAAAAAATCAGCCCGTTTGCTCGAGCCGCAGCGGAGATATTTAGTTTTTTCTTGGTATCGTCACTTTTGGGCCATATACAGGGTTGCCCCAAAGTCAGTTTACCAAAATAAAAATTGAATATCTCCATTACGGCCCAAGCAAACGAGCTGATGTTTTTACCGATAATAGAGGCATGGTCAAGTTTCATATCCATAAAGACATGCCTAAAGAGACCCTTTGTTATGTATCACTATTGACCTCAACGAGAAAAATTTACTTTTTCACAGTTAGAAAAAAAGTCACTTTACCGAAAACAATTTAATAGCNAATTGGAAAGGTGAAAAATCGCCACCCTTTCCCCTTTCCCCCCCCCCCCCGCTTTATCGTACTCTCCCATTACTGCCTGAAAAGTCTTGAGCATCCCCAAGACTAGAATCGTTCCGTCGTTTCTGACAGCAACCGCTTCCGCATTATTACTGATTTATGAACAAATTTGTTTGCGATGGTCTTTCCCAGAGTTCAACGTAATCTCTGGAGATCTTATTTTAGTGTAATATAGAGAAACTATGAATGTATTCATTTCGATCTTTGAACTTTGGCAAAGTGCACTTTCAATCATATCTGCCTGGTTGCCCACTATGCGCTCCTTCGTAAGTTTCAAAATTTCACGAAAAGTTATGTGTACACAAAAGGAGAGTATTCATGATCTACACAGATTGAGAAAATTGCTACGATGCTTTAGTGACTATTGTATAGCTTTAAAAAAGTGTCTTGTTCTACGCGCCATTATACTTCCAACGCAGTGAAAACGTAATAAAATTCTATTTATTTTTTAAATATCAATGCTAATAAAATAAAGAGATAACAACTATAAAAAGGAATAAAACAAGTCATAGTTGTAATTTTCTCAGTTAGTTTTTACAATCTATCTCTGAAGATTTTGAAGTATACTGAGGAAAAGTCATATATTGATAACGTAAATGCTAGTGAAAAAGTTCGATGATTCATTTATTTTAGTTTAATCGTAAGATGGTATGCTCTATTTTGAGAATAATCATGTTTTTTACCTACACCATGTAAAGAAAAAATTTATATCTCTTCATCCAATCGACAGTTATAAATAGATAAGCATGAATATTGCGGTGAGTAATTTATATGTCAGACGTCCTGTTTAATTATCTAAGACGAAAGCACTCCAATTGATATCCACCACCATTTGAGATTATATAGACCCTACAAGGATAATTTGCTAAGATTAGCAAAAGTCTAAAAGATTCGTTACTGTAAAACTTTTGAGCTGAGTTATGATCATTTTAATGAATTTTTTTCATCCAGCTTTAGGTATTTACCGGAAACGAAAGCAATGTTCCTTTATTGAAATTTTTATTTGATGTCAGTAACAAACGATTATTTTTTGGAATATCAATATTTCAGGAAAAGGTAATGTGTATATGAGTTCTAGGCTTCTATTCACTTATACTAACAATCACATCTGCACCCTGTATATACTGTCGAAGCTATTTTTTGAGAGTACTTTGAAATAAATCATAGGTAACATTTTTTTTCGACTTTCATTTTATGGATTATAAATCATTTCTTATTGTTGCATAAGCGTGAGTATTATTCTATTAATTTTATCATTTTGTTATGAGTTATTGTTCATTAGAAAAACTAGAGAAATATCTAACTAGCTAGTGCTATGTAAAAATAGTCATCTGTAAAATACTTAAAGAAATAAAAAGAATTGCATTAAGCAACCTTGTTTCAAGACAAAAATATTCATTTAATGTTTTTGAAGTTTCAAAGTAAATAGAAGAAAAATCTAGAAAATTTTTGTGTTAGTTTCATTTATAAAGTAGGAGCATTTTGATTGAAGATAAATAAATAATTCTACTTTGTTGGAAGTGAGGAATGAATTCTAGTTTTAGAGTTCATTAGATCCAGAACCAACCCAATGGGCTCTACCTGGTATATAGTTTCGCACGAATGATCTATTTCAGATTGCAATTCTTGTATTGTTCTGATTTCTTGATGTTCTATTTATATTCAATCACAAGGATTTACCAATGCAAGTTTTTATTTAATATTCAACCAAATAAAAAGTAAATGAGTCTGCTTCTCTTAGTGGTCTATGTTAATTGATCATGTTTGCCTATTTTTGCGAGTAAAAGGTTCAAGATCTGATTTACATATCGAACATAATTGAAGAGAATGATCACAAGGTATGCAGGCAAGACGTTTCTCTTCTTTCAAGCATTCAACACAAAAATTCGATGGTGATGATACAACTTGTTGATCATCCACATTCGTTTCTTCTCTGATATGTTGTAATGATGTTGCATGAGCGAAGTTTTTTGCAAGTTTATGAAACTGACCTATCAATCATTTTCTTTCGCATCATCAATATGTTCAATTTGCTTTTGAATAATCATACAAACCACTAGAAGATCAGAATCACTAACAAAATTATCATCTAACATAGGGATTAAATAGAATCCCATTTATTTCCTCTGAGAGGAATAAGAAAAAAGCAACTATTCTATGTTTTAAGTCGAATTGATCTTTGTAGCAACGTTGAATGATTGATAAGGGAAAAACTCGAGCAATGAAACTTTTTAAGATAAGTAAATCAAGCCGATTTCTAATGTGAGATGAGAAAGTGACTTCACCATCATCATTGTTACAATGTAGAATAAAATAATATCAATTTCTTTCGTGTTTCTTTATCAAATAAGCTATACTTCTTTCGACTTGTTGAATTTCTCGATACAATTCTGCACCACACAGCTCTTTGTCAAATACACAATGTGAAAACAATCGAGCATGTTCAGTCATTAGATTATCGTTTGCTTTGAAGTTTTGTAATGATCCATTACAATAAAAGTATGTTGCAACAGTTTTACTGCCAGTATAAAAAAAGTCAGTCTTGACCTGATCATCAACAGATGGAAATTTTTCCTTCGGCTATTTCTCAAAAGAATCTTGCCATCTAGAGGTTTCAACATAATTTGCATGACATTCAACAGGATAAAGAACTTCATTATTCTCCCGTGTATCATTATTTGTCGTCCCTATGGAGTTATCTCTCATGATTTGTTCATTAATAATATGAATTGATGATATTGATTGATGCTTTAGCATTGTAATTACATATGGTCATGTAGAAGAAAGTGTTGTGTGTGCTATCCATTGTTGAGAAATAATATTACAATACAAACAAATGACACGATCTCCAATGTTACAACTGGAAAAACACAGCTTCGATCATTTATTCACTTGAAGGTGATATTCGATGTGACCTATGTGAAAATGTTCGTTTTCGTATTTGTTTAAGTATGTCAGTTTCGATAAGTCAATGTAGCTGACAAATTTCTTGTATTGCTTCGATTTTCTGACATTTAGATGACTTTTCATTATTCGTTAAGGCCGAATTCATTTCAAGAAGATATGCCATTGCTGGTTTAGGAGCTATTTCATCGAATAGAATTGAGCGGATAAATGTACATTTAGGTTTGCGTTGTGCATGAATAGTAAATGGTTTCATGTTGAATGTCTATCCAGATACTTCTAGTTCACAAGTATCACAACGGACTGTATCTTCTTTATCGATATATTTGAATCCAGCAGAAGCCATACTTATAGTAGAATGTACATCTTGTTTTTGTAATAATGTTCTACATTTTTCTACTACTCGACAATAAAGTTTAGTCTTTTTAAAGCAGACAGACTGTGAAAAATTATTTGTCCTTTTTACTGTCACTAGCAAGTCCATTACTACGACTGCTTGATATATTAATCGGACGTTTTATTTGAATCATTTCTATATCGTTATATTCAAAAGAAAAAAGCCTTCATCTTAGACTTTCGCTTGACGATTATATTTTCCCATGTTTGACTATTTGGTTTGATTAAAAACGGCTAGAATAAATCCTTCTTTTTGATTATTCTACCTACTCATTTAGCAAAGATGCAACTATATGTCACCAAAATATAATTTCATCTTGCCAAATCTACGATGGATGCTGGTCTAGAAAATGTTTTGTATAATCAAACTTTATTCTTCTTGTTTATTGGTTTCAATTCAAATAATTTTTAAATTTAGTATTGTTTCGTTAACAAAGCTAGCTGTAGTAAACTCTACATGAAGTGACGACAAAGAGTTTTAATGTTTATTCATAGATTATTTACTTTATCTGTTGTTTTTTTTTTAAATTTGATGGTAGTGGCAGAATGAAAAAACTCATATCTTTATTTTTTTATGTCCTATCACAATCAATTCATTGTACAAAAGAAGAAGAAAAGAAATTATGTAAACTAATGAATCACAGTTACATTTTTACATTTGATATATTATAGTTGACATCAGTTCGTTAATGAAACGTCACTAAATTTAAAAATAAATTTAATGAAAACGAAGAGTAAAAATTAATTATATAAATATTTAAATGATCTTCCCTAATTCTAATTAATAGTTAGTCAGTATGCAGAAAAGAGGTTGTATAGGCACTGAATTGCAGGCAAAGCGAATGTTTTCAACCCATAGTATGTTATAAAGTGTGACGTTACGTACAGCGTGAGAAGAATTCAATGAAACTTATCAAGGGAAAAAACAAACACTAAGATAACGTCAACAAATTGAAATGGGGAAAAAGCCATTTATGTAAAGATGAAGATCGTTACTGATGTTTTGTCTAATAATTATGGAAAATTTCTTACGGCTGACGTCGTTGCGAGCATCGACTTATCTAAGCGTATACGTACGATAATAGTGACTGCATGTTGTAGCATACTTATATGTAAAGCTCTTTTCATGTATGATGGTACATGAATATGAGTGATCGAAATTTGAAAAAAGATTGAAAAGTTAACATTTTCATAAAATACAAGGATGAAATGAAATTCTAATTTTCATGGAACAATTGATTCCAGCATAAAAACATCACTATTTTATTTTAAAAAAAAATAAAAACTTTGTTTGTCATATCAAATAATAAAAGACCTATTATTCTTAAAACAAAATCTTATCATTGTGCTCTGCAGTCAAATTATTCCAAGTATATTTAATCTGTGTTCTTGGTTGTGTATTTTTTAGGTGAGTTATTTATTTCAATAAATATTTCTTGCATTTATTTGCCGATTGTATAACTTCTTTCACTCATATTTTTTTCTTGTTATGTTGTCATGGCTTTTTCTTCCATTCTATGCATTTCAAAAATGAATGCAAACTATGAGGTTAGCAGCTGAAATTGTGCAATAAAGAAATAGACATTTTTGTCGACAAAGATTGTTGTGTTAGTGTCTTGAAGTTGTCGCGACACATCGAAGTCGAGTTTTTTTTCTCTTATTTACTATCTTTGAGAATGTGGGAACTTATTGGGTGAAAATGAGGATAAAATTGATTCCCTTTATCGTTTCGGTTGGAAATGAGAAAAAAGAAAATTTCCAATTTTTCGGGATTCGTCTAGATTTAAGTCATTATCAGTGGTGTCAAAACACAAAATAAGTACACTGTGGTACACACAGAGATAAATATAGGTCTCAACCATTTGGAGAGAATATACGCGCTTTTCCGATGAAATAGAATTTAATTAACATGTTGAATTCAAATACTTTTTTTGCTTATGTGCTTATTAGCAATGAATTGTAAGTTTAGTGTGTTTCAATTGATTAAAATAATTGATACTTCGCAGTGAGAAATGATTGCTTTTAAGCAAATCCTTATGAGTATTGTCAAAGAATTTTCACTTCATTTCTCGATACTAAAGCTAATTAATCTTAATGGCATGATGATTATTTTCAATGGAATCAAACTTTATCGGCTTTTCAAGTCCTAAGTAAATTAAATCTTGCAAATAAATCTTTTTTTTTAATTAGATTACATTTAGATATAAATTCTGAAGTAAGTTGATAGTTTCATTGCTGTTCTTATATTCTATTGTCAAACTAATAATTTATATTATTAGTATTGGCTGAGAAGTTTTCATATGAGAGTACAATCTGTTAATTTTCGACTCAGATTTTTAGTAAAGAGAAATACGAACAATACTATGACTTTTATTTCATATTGAAAAGTATCAGAGCATTTATCGAAATGAGAATTTAGTTTTCATTATTTGCAGATGTTATTTTATCAAAAAAAACAACAAGCTAGTCAGTTATTACTTATGATAAAAATAATTTATGTTTTTACTTGTGTATATCTGTGTGCATGTAGAAAAACTGCTCGCTCAGATACGTCAAGGTAAAGCACGTTCTCTTTCTGATACAGTGTCTTACGTGTTTTTTTTTACGAAAAATTAATCTTTATTTTGTACTGTCATCATGACTAATATTTATCTTACGCATAGTCACATTTCGTTGTTAATATCCACATTAATCATTCAAAATTATTGCGATTACGCTGAGTTTGTATTCGATTTTTTCGTTTAATTTATTATAGATCTATTTTTATCCTAAATTGAATAAATTTGTATAGTGTAGGAATCAAACTAAATTATTCAAAAATATTTATGAAAAACAAATTCAACCAAGTCATAATAGTAATATAGATCGTAATACAACTTTGCTGTAATTTCATATTATTCACGGAATCATCTATAAAGGACGTTGAAATAAAAATCACAGTTTTTAACCTCTCCCCTTCCAGATATTTTCAGTTTCCTCGATCCTTCTTGAATTCGTGAAGAAATCTGTTTGTTCAAATATATTGCTTCTTTTATGAAACACGACCTAAAAAGAATGTTGAGATATATGGAGTAGAAGTTTCAACTCCCTCCAGACCGTGACAGACCGATTCTATATAAAAAATGTCTCATTCTAATATTCGAATAACTTGCTTATTGAATTTCCGGAACATTAAGTAAAAGGATGGCGAAGATATGTGTTCAAAAATAGATAGAATGAAGTAGTCTCATCTGATTAGCACTAACAACTTTTTTTTATTAAACAAGAGTTCATTAAATAAACATATCAAAATTAGAAATAATTATACAGGGTGGCGCAAAAGTCACTTTACCCAAAAAAAATTGAATATCTCCATTACGACTCAAGCAAATGAGCTGGTTTTTTTTATCAATGATAGAGGCATGTACCAAGTTTATATCAATAAAGACATGTCTAGGGAGACCCTTTGTTAAGTATCACTATTGACCTCAACAAGAAAAATTTACTTTTTCACAGTTAGAAAAAAGTCACTTTACCGAAAAAAATTGAATATCTCCGCTACAACTCGAGCTAACGAGCTGATTCTTTTATCAATGATAGAGGCATGTTCAAGCTTTATATCCATAAAGACATGCCGAGAGAAACCCTTTGTTAAGTACATTGCTTTCTATTCTATCTGTGAAAAAAGTAAAATTATTTTGTGGAGGTCATTAGTAGTACTTAATAAAGACTCTCTCTAATCTTGTCCGTATGGATTTAAAGTGTGAACATGCTTCTATTATTGGTAAAAAAGTCAGCCCGTTTGCTCGAGCCGTAGCGGAGATATTTAGTTTTTTCTTGGTATCGTCACTTTTGGGCCATATACATGGTTGCCCCAAAGTCAGTTTACCAAAATAAAAATTGAATATCTCCATTACGGCCCAAGCAAACGAGCTGATGTTTTTACCGATAATAGAGGCATGGTCAAGTTTCATATCCATAAAGACATGCCTAAAGAGACTCTTTGTTAATTATCACTATTGATCTCAACAAAAAAAGTTTTACTTTTTCACAGATAGAATAGAAAGCAATATACTTAACAAATGGTTTCTCTCGGCATGTCTTTATGGATATAAAGCTTGAACATGCCTCTATTATTGATAAAAGAATCAGCTCGTTAGCTCGAGCTGTAGCGGAGATATTCAATTTTTTTCGGTAAAGTGACTTTTTTTCTAACTGTGAAAAAGTAAATTTTTCTTGTTGAGGTCAATAGTGATACATAACAAAGGGTCTCCCTAGACATGTCTTTATTGATATAAACTTGGTACATGCCTCTATCATTGATAAAAAAAAACAGCTCATTTGCTTGAGCCATAATGGAGATATTCAATTTTTTTGGGTAAAGTGACTTTTGCGCCACCCTGTATAATTGAGTTGTTAATATTACTAATTTTAGTATGTCCTAAGTAATTATATTATTTTATAGGAGGCTGAAACTACAACTAAAATTCTTTTAATTGGTTCACCGATGAAGAAAGGTAAATATTTCATTTGGTTTCAAAAGAAGAATTTATTATTCTTTAATAATTAATTAGAGATTAAATCTATTAGCAAAGAAGTCACTATGTTGGATCATCATCGAGAAATCTTTATAAATCAATTGGATACTGATATCGCTTCATCTAAAATGAAAGACATACAGTAAAAAGTTTTTCTTTTTTTTTCTTCTTTTTCTTTCGGTGATAGAGCGATGTTTGATTCAACCCATCCTTGGTTACACTAGATATAAAATAGATAGAATAAAAAATCTTCCTGTGAATTAGAAATGACAGCTACATTGTGTTTCATAGACGCAATACTGGTAATATTATCTTGCATGAAGAAATTGCTGGTGGACCAAAAAGTCTTGATCGATTACCTATGAGCATTGATTCATTAACAATATTAACACGTATTCAACAACGAAAACATTTAGCTCCTGAAGAAAATAATAAGAATTCAGTTGTATTTGAAAGTGAAATACATCGTTTGGCTACTTTTGAAGATCAGAAACAAACTATTTCATTTTCTGTTGAATATGAACAAAATAATATTGAGAAAAAACCATCATCTCATCCATATGAACCATTTTTATTTGATGAACATGATAATAATGGTATGAAAACATTCGGTACTACTTCAATTAATACAAAAAGTTTTAATACATCAGCAGATACTAAACAACAGTATTTCATAGAAGTATTTTGTTTAAATTTTAATTTCAAAAAATTATTTTTCTATTTCTTTTAGTCACATCAAACAAATCAAGATAATCAACAACGAAAAAAGAAAAAAATGTCTCGATCACCAGTTGAATATGGTAAACATAAACAAAAACGAAAACGAAAAAAACATAAACATAATAAATCAACATCAAACATGTTTATTAATAATAATAATTCAAAACATTCGTTTCTTAATAATTTATTTTTATTACATCAAAATAAAAAACAAAAGACAATGATATTCATGAGAAATCATAATCGAAAACAAAAATATATTCAATTACCAAATACTATCAATGTCAATATAATAACAAAAAATTCGAATACAACAACAAAAATATATAGTAATGATGATATTGCCACACTTAAGAATAGCACAAGCCTTCAGGATAATCTTTTCATACAATCAAACGAAGATTTATCATGTAAGTTTTCAATATATTGTTCATTTAAATCTAACACTATCATCGTTTAGCATTTGATGAGCTAAAACATCGAAATTTATTGAACTCTTTTGAAGAACAACAATTACAAATTAATGATTCACCTTCAACCATCAATATGATTATTGATTCAACATCATTGAAATCAGTGCAGGATAATATCGAAAGACAAAGTTCACTAAATAATAGAGATCACGATAGGGGTTTAGACGAAAAGGAAAAAGGCCACAGCGAACAAACATCAAAATTAAATGATAGAGACGAATCAACAGAACATCAACAATTTCAAGACGACGGTTTTCAAGACAAAGGTAAATTCATATTACAATGAAAATTATTTCTAAAAAATAAGAAAGAAATGTGACTCCGCTCTTAATGATTTAGAAGAAACAGATGATGATGATGATGTTAGCTTTGACGATAGTGAAACAAGTTCTGATACAGAACGGTATTTACACTCACTCTATGGATCTTTATCTTCTGCTATGAAACAAATTTATGAAGTGTACAAATCGAAATCATCTCGACTTAGGTACATGAATTTAATAGTCGTTCATTCAAAAATATTACCAATCTGTTTATAGATCATCATTGGATTTAGCACATATCTTTATAAACTTTCTTCATATACGAAAAGATATTGCATACGAAATTGCTTCGACCATTATTGATGCACGACAACGTCTAATTCAACTTAATCCAACAGAAAAATCTTCATCTACTACAAATATCGATGAAAATTTCATATCAGATATACATATAAATGACGAAAACGATAATGATGATACATCGATTAGTTCAGGTATTGTTACTGCTGAAGATAGTGATACAATAGTAAACGAAAATAATAAGACATCAAAAAGTATTAGTAATAATTCTGATAGTGACAGAAGAAAAACATATTATGTAAATAAGAATAAGATTTTTTCCTTATCGCATTCACAACGTATTATGAATCGTATAACAACTTATTTATCAGAAGTTGATTGGAGAGTATTCAATTACATTACAAAACATTTCTTACAAAATGGTATGTCATTGTTATCAATAAGAAATTCATATAAATAAAATAAAATATTTTTCTTAAATAGGTACTATGATTACTAGTCATGCATTAGAATTTTCATCGGCATTATTGATAGATCTTATGTAAGTTTAATAATAAGTTTTTGTTTTTTATTACTTATATTTCTTGTGTTTTCTTTTTTTTTAGTGAAGATAGTGTTTATGAGATATATTTTCATTCGAAATGGCGTACTGATTCTAATGTTCATTTGAATGATAAAAAAGAAATAAATTATATTGAAAATATACTTATTGAAGAATTCTTCAAGAAATCTATTTATTATTTATTCAATCGTCTTCAAAGAATTAATTTACCATTGTTGGAAAGTATTACTCTAATACATACTTTAAAAAAATGTATGAATACAAATATTCTACAAGAATTTATCTCATTCGAATGTCATACAGTTCCATTAGATCTTGATCCTTGTATTTGGTTTTCTAGTAGTAAGAAACTAAGAAAACAAAAAATTGATTGAATTATTTCTTATGATATTTCATTGAATAGATATTCTTATCAAAACTATTTGTTCGTTAACTGATAATATTTTAAAACAAATGAATTATGATTATTTATCTGATTATACAAAATTCGAATATGTTTTAGTATCTTATTTTCGTCAAATTGAAATTGTTCACAATCTACAAGATATTATTGAAATGTATCAACATAAAATGACATCAAAATCGTCACATACAATTTCTAATAGCAACTATCTTTTGCATGTAATTGATTTAAATCAAGCACCTAAATTTTTTTCTCATCAAGCTTTTAAACGATTTAAATTCGGTAAACAAAGTCAACAAAACAGTGATATTGAAACACTTAAAGATTTGGTTTTACTTGATATTGAAAAACGTGTAAAGCTTTTTTCTTATTCCATAACGAAGGAACATTTCCAACTGATCAATTAGAGTCGACAGTTTACAATTCACTAGCAGTCATTATAAAAGCAATTGATCACTGGAAAATGTTCCATTGTAAGCATTATTTTGAATGTATATCTTTGTTGAATAGAATATCAAGTCAATGAAAGGACCTTATATACCTCTGACTATAAATGATTTGGTGATACATCAGCAGAAACGTGTATTAACTCCATCACCTTGGATTTTAGGACAATATCATCAACGACTAGGAGCACAAAAACCATTTGCCGATGAATATAATGTACGAAAAGATTCATATCGATTTGATGAAACTACTGATTCTACAAAACCGGACAATTTACCAGCAGAAGTGCGAGATCTCTTGGACAATATGATTAGAAAATATGGTACTATTGAAGGCAATTTGGGCATACCAACTACACGAGATTTATATGAAGGTTTACCGGAAGATGTAGCACAGTTAGTAGAAAATGCTATTGAAGCTGTACAAAAATTTGATCGTGAAAATAATATTGGTGATCGAAAATTACAAAATAAAAAAACAGTAAATGATCGATTAACCGAATTTTTCAGATATGCTGGACGACATGGAGTACGCTATAATATTTGCACAGAAGAAAAAATTGTTAATATTTTATTTTTGTCTATTACAGGTGCGTCTACTGGATGATGTATTAAAATTAGCTAAACTACGTTCAAATGATCCGAAAAAATATATTCCACTTGCTGTTAACATGCTCAAAGATCGTTTGAAGCAACCTGGTACAACACGTATGCGAAAACAAGCTGTTCGTTTTGCGTACACATTGGAAACATTGCTCATGGCAACAAATGATGAACCAGCATTGATTGCATCAATGTTGAAGAAAAAGATTGACGAAAAGAAATCATTTATTTTTTCTGAAAATTCTGGTAAATCTTTAACTACTGACCAAGATTTATTACAACAGATTACGGACGAAATAGATAAAAAGATTGATACTTCATTCATTGAATCAGTAGGCAGCAGAAATATTCCATCACGTCCCTTCAAAATGTTCACAACAGATAGATATCGACAAATGTTACCAATAATTGATGAAGCAATCGAATCGACAATGACATCTCGTAGCACAACAGATATTCATAGAGAATGTTATTCTGAAGCTATGATGTCAAGTACAATTATGTCATATGTTGGTCTTAGTGTGGCTCAATTGGTGGTGCTCGTTATTGGACAGAATCAAGAACCACTAAAGCTGACAAATACTCAAATTGAACAGTAAGTAATGCTTTTATCAATATTCTATTCCCTTTTTGGGTTGATAAATGATTTTAAATGTTAATTTTCTTTTTACTGCTTGGAATAATTCTTAGTAGTGGAAATTGTAAACTGTGACTGGAAGAACACACTAATTAATAGATGCTGCAAGTAGATGCACATGTTGTAGAGGCTGATTGTTCTCTTGTTGATGATTCTGATGTGTTCAATCTAGAAAAAATTATAGTATAATAAACAGTTCAGTTCTAAAATCATTCTTTTTCTTGCTAACTATTCATTTTATTTCATTATCAAACAGATGAAAACCATTTTGATTAGTTCAGCACTGATAGTCAAGCAAATTGATGTGATCTATTTAGTCGACACAAATTTATTCCCTTAAAACAAAAGTACACATAGTGTTAACATTGTTTCTATTCTGCGATATTCATTGAAAAATCGACAATTAGTATTGATATTATCGAGAATTACACACATGAAGAAAAGTTCGGATAGCATTAGCTGTTTTGCGATAAACGATAACTGGTAAGTCTATACTATTATATCCTAATTATGAAGAGAAATCAACAAACAGATGTTAACGGCATAAGACCACGCGAACTTTTTATATTTCTTCTACCTTGAAAAAAATATCCGAAAATTTCTTTGGGATGTACTTGTTTTCAACTTGACTTCTTTGATTTTCCTAGAGAGCAATAGTTGTTTTTGGTTCGTCAGAAAAGCGTAAGTTCCATTTATGTTAGGTTACTATCTGCGTAAAATTACGAGTCAGTAAAAAAAATAATGAAAGTGAAACAAGCATAATGTTTTGCATCACTTTATTAATTTTCCAGTACTGTTAATCGTAGGTTATTGAAAAACACAATTACACATATCAGACCTTAAAATCATCTCTGGCCATGTCAGCAATTCATCAGGATAGATTTTTTTTTTTTATGGACTCATCTTATCACATATATCTCGAGCAAGATTTTCAGAATGAGTTGAAGGACTAACTTTTTCTATGAAAAAATAATCACAAGGTAGTTTAACATACCGTGCAAGGAATTAAATAATATCACGAATAGACTCAAATAACAAAGCGTCGGTCTTATAAACAACTCACTTGCTACAACCACTTGATATTTTTTTGTAATCCAAGCATACGAGTCTAAGTTTTGTGTTTCATGTTATAAATGTTTCTAAACATATGTACCAACAGTTGATCTAGTGATTACCTTTCTCAGTAACTTTTCTTTCTGTTGATAATTTTAGATTCTCACTTCCACTCTTTAATTAGCTAATTGGTAATCAATCATTATAGAAATCCATAGCACATATTGTTTCTGTAGTTATCTGATGTCTAATGCATTTGCAATGTCTCATCTATCGATATATAGACAAGAGTTTAATAAAAATTATTATTCGGTTATTGTTACAAGTTCTCCTTAGTAACTAATGGCTACAAAACGAGTCTCTATTATCATTTTACACAATGCGGAAATGTTAGCGAATTTTAAAATACAAAATAAGAATTCATCAAGTTCCTAGAAAAATTATTACAACTTTCGTAGGCAGTCGTAAACGATCGTATTCACTTAAATTTCTTCTCATTCACGAGGAGAATCACTTTCTCTTTTTCTTCTTGGTTGTTCGAAGTAATCTAAATAAAAAAACAAATTTTTTTTTTTCTTTTTCTGTAAATAAATACTTGCCACAGAATGTGTTGCTGAATTCAAAATGCAACTCAACTTACGACTAACTTATTCTACTGTAATTTTAAAGCAACTACTCACGAAAATATTCATTTCAGTTGATTAAATATCACATAAAGCTATTACTTAGTTAATTCAAATTATTTCTTCGATTTACCTCTCACGGATAAGAGAAAAATCCATTGTATGTCAGACTATTTTTATAAAGATATTGCATATCAAAAGTCTCTTCGTGATAATTGCACAGATTCTTTGATTTGGTCTGAGCTTTCGATTTATTTCATACTTCTGGTAGTTGTTTTTACTTCTTTAAAACAAAAAAAATATCAATACGTTGCGACACAGGGAAAGATTATTGAATGATATATTCAGTTTTATTTTAGTAAAATGTGTGAACAGAAACGAATAATTGAGCCTATTTTATTTTTAATAGAATATATCTGAAAGAAAATCTTTCTACGGAACAATCTCAAGATTATTTACAAAAGTTGATGGAAACAATTGTAATTCCGGACAGATTTGCACTGACAGAAGAACAGTTAATTCAAATTGCCATCGAGGAAAATATCTCAATCACAGATGGTATATAACTTGTTTCGAGTATATATTTTAACAAATATTATTTATTTACTGTCTTGCATTTTATATATTTTTGATTAAAGTAATTTTTCAAGTTTGCAAATATTGCTCGTATAATTTCATGTGAATTATGCAAGAATGTCGTGTTTTTTTTTTCAATTATTATTTTCATCAAAGAAAAGAAAGGATATATCTATCTCCTGACTTCATACTCGATCGATGAGCGAATTCAAAAGTTTATTCATCGAAGAGATAAATAATGATCAAAACAAGCATATTATTCGATTTGATTACCATACACATAATTACTTTTTCTCAATTGTATAATACAGCATCCTTTAAACTATTCATTGATTTAAAATAATAAGAGATATGTTGACTTTATTTCTTGTCTTTTTTAGTTGAACAAATTGAAATATCACAGGATAATCTTCATTTGAACGAAAGTCAAATCCGATCTTTAATCACTCAAATAAATTTGATCAATTGGATATCTTCAACGTTCACGTTATCATCAGAACAATATTCATGGCTTGTTCTTCAACTCGATCAATTAATCGAATTGTGTAATCAACAAATGATTGATATATATAGTCTTCTTGATAATGAAACTAGTTCACAAGATTCATCATTACTTGACAGGTCTAAAATCAAGTTTACTCTCTCACCTTCACAAATTGCACATTTAATCAAACAAAATAATTTTGATATTCAAAAATTAATAGATATTGAACAAAACTTAAAAAAACACGGCATACAAGATCAACAATTTCGTTTAAATTCATCACAATTGGCTTATTTCTTTGCTCATCGTCGTCTTGTTAACAATCAAAGAATTGTTGGATTTACTGTCGCTCAGCTCATCGGCATCTATATGTTGCAACAAAATTCAAACGAAAATGATCAATCATTATTGTTTTCATTTGATTATCAACAAATCAAACAGCTAGCTTTAATTCAAAGTAAATGATCGATTCAAATTCTATTATCCGTTTCAAAATATAATGTGCTCCACTGTTTTTTGAATAACTTTTCATAGGAACATTGTAGAGACCTGCGGTTTTCGCCGTTTCGAGAGAGGACACTGGGGAACATCGAAACATATTCGAAATTTA